CCAGGCCTGGTTTCACGAGAATTCTTCTAAATTGGGGTTTGGACTTTGTGGACTTGACAGGCTTATATCATGTATAAACTATTTTATGTATTGCTTATTATTGAGCACACAGAAATAGCCATGATGTTTGTACCTATCAGAAGTGCTTTGACTGTTGGCTTACCTGTTTGTTAGGCAGAGATGACAGCAATAGATTGAAAACCAGATCATTAGCCTTCTTTTTAAGAATGGCTGCTCATTAAGGGGATAGGTAAGACCCTGGTACCGAGTTACTCAGGAAAGCTTGTTAGTGCAGGAATGTTATTAAGGAGATAAAAGCCTTAGCGTACCTCTTTACCTTGAACTATATTACTACTACTGAGGATGTATCTATGATATTGTTCTTCACGATTAGTTTATAGTTATGTACACTGTTCAAAATTGTATAAAAGAAGGTTCACTCCAAGCAGGGGTGTGCCCATTTTGGTCCTTGCTACTAGGCAACCTTCCATTTGCAAATAAAACTTTTCATCCCTTCCACCTCTCTGGCGTGATTTATTGGGCCCCTGTGCCAGGTAAAGGACCTGAGTTTTCTGGCATAATAGTACTTCAACCATAGTGGGGAAAAATGAGCAGGAATTGGCTAATGTTATTTTCAGCTGCTTTGATTTGGGGCTTCATGAAGTTAAACAAGCAGCCGAGAGTTCTTAATATGGCACCCCATGGAAACTGATCCCTAAGTTGGCACCATCTTTTCTCTCCTCTTCTTCCACCCGAGTTTTCTCCTGTTTTGATCACAGAAAGGAAAGGAAGACCTAACGTAGCAAAAGGAGCCTTGCACTGAATTAAAATATAATTGCACGCCACCCAGAGTGACTTTGTGTGAGATGGGCGGCTGTATAAATTTGATAGATTCATAGATTCATTCCCTTGATTTTGATGTGAGATTGGACTCTCTCTTCCTCAGTGACCTTGGAGCAGGGTCCTTCCTTGAATTTTCCTAGATCATAAAATGAAGGACGCATCTCTCGGTCTGCCTTGTGGCAGCCCATTCCAGTGTAGGTAAAAGCAGACCACACCCCATCGCTTTGGCTGGGACTCGTCAAATCAAATAAGTTTTATTTACTTACGACTACACTGACCATATTTTCTTGGAAAAAATAAAGGACAAATCTGAAAAAAGGGCAAATATGAAAGAGGTTCCTAAGGATAAAAAAAATTATCTTTATAACTTTGCTTTACGAAGCAAAATTCAAGAGCAAAACCAAGAAAATAAATAATTAAATTCAATAAATCTAAAGGACAGCTTTCTGAAATAAAAGGACGTATGGTCACTGGACTTATGACCTTTGTTAGGAGCCCCAGCATATCTATTCTTTGGGCAATGATACAATTATAGTTAAAATGTATAAAACATGATCAATAAAGAAAAATGCACCTTCTGTATTAGAAAATTTCATTTCTGTTAATTTGGCATGCAAAACACTCAGACCTATCGGCTTCCTCTGGAAGCCCTCAGGGTCCAGGATGCAGCTATTCAACAGGACTTTTTCATGCAAAGGACATAGTAACATGCAGACAACAAGATAACCCTGAATATAACATCTTCATCATAACAACAATAATGCATTAATGATAAAGCATCTACAATATATTTAGTAAGGATGGAAAGAGCCTTGACAACTATTGTTGTTCAGTCGTTAAGTTGTGTCCGGCTCTTCGTGACCCCATGAACTGTATCGG